CCTTGCGCTTGGGGGGCAGGGGGCAGAACCACTGAGCTAAATCCCCGGCCCTTGCAATTAGATTAAATGAGCAAAATTAGCTCGTATGTCAGAAGCATCAAAAAAAAAAATATGTTCCAGAGGGTTTGAGATAAACCTAATAAAGACTCAGAAGTCCATGACATAAGTAAAAGTTCCCCCTCAATGGGCTGGGGTATGCCAGAATTATCAGGTATCAGCTCTAGGACAGCATAGTTCACACTTGCAAACATTGCTTCAACCCATCTACTGAGTGATGCAGAAGGCTGGCAGCTTTGAGAGAGATCCAGAGAAAGAAAGGGGTCTGCGGCCAGCTTAGGCTGTAGTATAAGCAACCAGGACACACAGGCCATATAACTTAGCAGATCTTATGGTACTAATGGAAACTGTGCTGAGTGAGAATGGATACTGTGTGGACTTTATGGTAAATTCAGTGAAAGAATCATACCACTAGAAATCCAGAATTCTGGGGCCGGGGATGTAGCTCAACAGCACCACACCTGCCTGGCAAGGTCCTAAGTACAGTTCCTGATACCATAAAAACACAAAAGCAAAAAAAAAAAAAAACCCCAAAAATAAATCTAGAATTCTGGAGTAAGGCCATAACATCTGCAGAAAAAAGAACTATCCAATTATCTGTAGTGAGATAGAAATGGTACACCTGCTTTCAGTCCTGAGCAAAGAAGGGGGATCAGTAAGCTCAAAATTAGATGACCCAGACCCCTTTGATACCCACCAATACTGCAAAATTGTCCCTCCTTCAGCTCACACCTATAACAGATACTACCTTATGCCCACAGGACAGAGGTGGTAAAAGGACAAGCTCAATTCACAGATGGGTTGGCTCAGGATGTGAGGCACCATATCCTCACTCAGAAGGTCGCACTACATCCTCACTCAGATGGGAGAGGAGGTGCCTGAAAGAAAATGGTGACAAGAGAATCTTCTCCAAGAGATTCAATTCGAGACTCTGAAGGAACATCTTGCTTCCTCACTTTGAGATGGCCTGAGTTCTCTGCAGCAAACTGCATCCCAGTTTGACCGCTCCCTCTGCTCATTCCTGAATACAGCCCAATAACCTACATGGATGGAGATCTACTCCCTTTTGGTTTATTCCCAAAAAAACGCAACCCAAAACAATTAATAAAAATCATCACACGATGTGTCAGAATTAAGAGTTCTGCACTTTAGAAAGAAAATTTGTGGTAAGGCAAGGAGTGATATTAGTCCATCTTAGAAACGCAAGTTATTCATTTTGCTATTTGTGTTTTTATTCTGTTTCTCAGAGTGCAGGCATCCATCTTGATTTCTAGCATAGACATGGTGATGTTCTCAGAGGAACTGCTTCTCCACTACTTGAAAGCAGAGGGCACTTTTGTCTGGAACATGTGAGAGCAAATTACTTTTTCTGCAGCAGAGAGAAGGTAGTTTCCAAATGGCTAATGCTTGTTATTGGCACTGAGACTTCTCTAGAGAAATATATAAATATAAATATATATATGAATATAGACATATATCTGTCTTTATAAAGGCAACAAGGGCAATTAACATCCAATACTGAGAGGGAAAGACACAATATAGGGACAGTCTTCATTGGAAGCTGTTACTCAAAAGGCAAATGTGCCTCCATGCACTCCTTTTCTGTGCTAGACTTTTACTAGATCTCAAGTGCACAGAGTGCATAATTCGTAATCCCAAATTCAGAACAGGCTTTCATCATTTTTACAGAAAATGCTCTTTTATTCATTGTATGCTTGTCAGTTTTAATGATTTAATAAACAATTGTGAAACCAGTGCCCAACAGAAAACAAAAGCCAGGGTAATAATGTACAGCCATATGTAATCCTTGCTCATCTTATTCTCCTGTTTCCCATCCTGAAACTTGTATGTATTCATTGTTGCCTTACTTTCTTTTTGATATAGTTTTATTATAGCTGTATGTATATACTTTTGTTTGGGTTGTTTTTAAGTTCATAAAAAGAGTGCCTCTTCTCTCCATCCTTGGAAGTTTTTCTTTTGAGATGACCCAGCCAGAATGTGGACTGTTGATGAAGAGGTGGGAGTGGGCATTGCTGCTGAAGT